GACATTTCTTCAAAAACTATAAAAAAAAAAGTATGGGGCTGGGAATGTGGCTTAGTGGTAGAGTGCTTGCCTAACATGCATGAAGCCCTGGGTTTGATTCCTCAGTACCACATAAACAGAAAAGGCCATGGGCTGGGAAGGTGGCTCAGTGGTTAAAAGCGCTTGCCTGGCATGCCTGAGGCCCTGGATTCGATTCCTCAGCATCACATAAGCAAAAAGAAAAAAGCTGGAAGTGGCGCTGTGGCTCAAGTGGTAGAGTGCTAGCCTTGAGCTGAAAAGCTGAGGGACAGTGCCCAGGCCCAGAGTTCAGGCCCCATGATCGGACCCCCCCCCCAAAAAAAGAAAGAAAAGGCCCAGAGGTGGTGTTGTGGCTCAAGTGGTAGAGTGCTAGTCTTGAGCAAAAGAAGCTCAGGGACAGTGCTCAGGCCCTGAGTTCAAACCCAGGACTGGTTAAAAAAAAAAAAAAGTCAAGTATACACCTGAAAAAGATATTCAGTATCATTAATAGAAATAGGAAAATGCAAATCAAGAGTGCAGTAAAATATCACTACATACTTACCAGCATAATACTTGTATTTTTTCAAAAGAATAGCCAGTGTTGATGAAGACGGAGAAATATTGGAACCTTTGGTACATTACTTTTAAGGAGGGTGCCCCAAAGCATGTATGTAAAAATTAAACATACAGTTACCATCTCATGTAGTAATTTCGCTTCTCAGAACAGAATTGAGAAGATTCAAATAAGTATGTGTACTCTAGTGTTCATCACATTATAATGTACAGTAGTCAGAAACAATCGACCATCAATGGATGATAAGATAAACAATGTATGATGTGTATATGATAAAATATTATGCAGCTTAGAAAAGGAATGGGATTCTGATACCTGGTGCAATTGAATGAAATAGGAGTCCCTAGAGTATGTGAAATGGAGATAAAGGATGAAATAGTGCTGACCAATAACTGGGACCACACATAGTGGAGAATTATTATTCATGGAGCCAAGTGTGGGTGATAAAAGGTTCTGGAATGAATAGTACTGGTGGTTGCACTGCAGTGTTAATGTACTAAATGTACTGAATTGGAGTAAGAATTGTTAGAATGGTCTCTTTTATGTATGCTCTACTACCATAGAAAGTTGAACACTTTTAATAGTTTCTTAATATTTGAACATTTATAAAATTTATTAAAAATTATTACTTCTGTTCTTTTATGTGGGCTTGGCAGATAGGGAGGTTTTTGTTATAAATGATTATGATTACAAAGTATGTATATAAATCTTATAAAATTATTAGATCAAATGGTATATATAAATGTTCAAGTTTCCTGATTTTATAAAGTCACATTAATTTCAGAAAGATGTTTTATCTTTAACAGACAAAGTCTGTCAACATCCCCCCCACCTCAGCCTCACAAGTACTAGGATTTCAGGCATGTACACAACATATCAGAGGCCCGAGACCTTAATTTTGAGTGGATTCAAGTCTAAATTATGTAGAAGAAATTTTGTGTATCTTTAACTCACATTTCTTTATATAATTACTCTTTTTTTGTGTCAGTATTGAGGCATGAACTCAAAGCCTCTAGATCTTACTCAGCAATTTGCTCAAGATTGAGCCATACCTCCAGTTCTGGCTTTTTGCTGATTAACAGGAGATGAAGTCTCTCAAATTTGTCTGCCCAGGCTGTCTTTGAACTGTGATCCTCCAATCTCAACCTCCTAAGTAGCTAGGATTACATGCATGAGCCAGCAACACCCACCTTAATAATGATTTCTTTAAATCATTTACCTGGCTTTTTATAGCACACAGATTAAGACAGACAAGTTTTCCTAATTGGCCGCTTTGATACATATGTACATTATATAATGACCACATTGTATTAGCATATCATCATTTTTTGTGGTAAGAGCATTTAGAATTCACTCTTAACTAGTCATTTCATCACCATATTATAGAATATCGTAATTTATCCCTCCATTAGCCGAATATCATCCTTTCCTTACACTCAGCCTGGTAATCAGAGGCTGGTCTTTTTTTTTCTGTGAGTTTAAATTTTTGAAATTCCACTTATAAGTCAGAATGTACAACATTTGTCTCTGCACCTGGCTTACTTTGCTTAGCCTAATACCCTCTATCATGTTGTTACAAATTCCCTGGTTTTTAAAGGCTGAATAGCATCCCATTGTGGTTATATACCTTTTTTTTTTTTTTTGTCTAGTTGTCAGTTTTTGGATACAAGTTATTTCCATATGTAGCTGTAGTGAATAGGGGTACAGTGAACACAGGAATGCCCATGTCTCATTTCATATCCTTTGGGTGTGTGCCCTACAGTGGGAGTCTGGCTGTTGCTAATGTATAATACACAGTGTTGTATGAGACACTATCAGGTGATACAGATGATATTATATTAAGTGTTTAAAATATTTAATATATTATAAAATCATAAAGTAAAGTAGAAAAGCATTGTTATTTCAGGAAGACAAACTATCTTTTAAAAACTATTTTCTCTTTAGGAATGATTTCTTGAACTTAGTAAACTGAAGAAGTGTTTTATTGTTGATTTCTTTCCTGCTGAAATTTAGAATTTTGCCAATCATTTACAGAAATTCACTTCTAAGAAATCACGTTATATAATTACTTGCTTAGCATATAATCACAAGGAATCAGTTGTACTCAATTCTAATTTCTATCTTTTAGGAATGGGAAAGGGTATAAATATGAGGCAAAAGGGTTTTAAATATAAAGTTTTGTTTTAAGCATGTTCAGTAGAGAATGAGGTTGTACTTAATCATTTGTAAACATTTTACCAAGAATTAAGGTTCTTGCCATTGATAAATGGCTCACATCTATAATCCTAGCTACTCAAGAGTCTGAGATCAGAAGATCTTGGTTTGAAGCCATCCTAGACAGAAAAGTTAGTGAGACTCCATCTCCAGAGCACTAGCCATGAGCAGGCAGCTATGTGAGAAAACAAGTTCCTGAGTTCAAGTCCCAGGCCTGGCAAAAAGAGAAAAGGGAAGGAGGGAGGGAGGGAGGGAGGAAGGAAAGAAGGAAGAAAGAGAGGGAGAAAGAAAGGGAAAAGGGAAAGAAAAAAGGAAGGAGTAGCTATCAACATATTGAGGTATGACACAATGTACATTATTATTTTGATTTTAAGCAGCACATTCCTATACATGGTTTCACTGGAGGGCTTCACAAAAATGAAACAAAACAAAAACATTATTTTAAAGATTATGTTCAGATACTGAGCCAAGTCTCAATATGTATTTGCATAGGAAATTTCAAGTTGCCTTAGAAATTTTATCATACCACGTTTGATGGATTTCAGAAACAGGGATCGTATTATTTTGAATGGAAAGTTAATTATTCCAGAGAAGAAAGGAGGACAAAAAGAAATCCTGTACAAATGATATCTTAAATTTTGAAACTGCCAACTTTTTATTTAGATTACTTTGTACTTAATGATTTGTTGGATATACATTCTGCATTTTTAAGTACTTAATATAAATAAGATAGGTTTGTTTTGGGTTTTTTTAGTTAGTCATGGGGCTTGAACCTGGAGCTTGGGCATGGTTCCCTAAGCTCTTTTGCTCAAAGCTAGTGCTCTGTTTACACACACACACACACACACACACACACACCATGCTCAAAGCTAGTGCTCTTCAGACACACACACACACCACATGCTCAAAGCTAGTGCTCTACACACACACACACACACAACACACACACACACAGAGCCAGGCTCAGAGAAGCTTAAAATAATACACAATAAAATATCTACACCTTTGCAATAGTTTGAAAGATGGTAGTAGTCCATTCCACCAAAGACTTACATGTCTAAAATTACTCTAAAATATACAAATTACTCTAAAATATACAAAGAGATCCTCTTCTGAATTTGGACCTCGGCTAGTCCCTCATTCACAAAGCATATGACAGGAACAGTAGGTGAGGGTTTAGGCCATAACAGTAATGAGGTGGCTAACTCTATCTTTGAAGTTTGGGAAGATCAGTAAGTGGGAAGCTAAAAGGCAGGTGTTCAGAGAAGTTAAAGAGTAGATAATTTGTAGACAAAATTACATTTCTGAAAATTGGTATTACAAACGAAGAAATGGCAAACTTTGCCCACCTTTTGGGTACTCAGGAAATAGTAAAGTAGAAAGAAAAGATATATTCTTTAAGGAAAAAGACATGTGCTGATCAATTGGAAAAGATACGTGCAATAGGGCTCAATTACTAAGATTCATATAACAGTAGGCTTAATTGAGGACTCTGCTTCTAGGTAATAATTTTTTAAGTGTCAAAATGACTTTTCCCCCACATTTTTATTAACATCAATTAGTTATACAACAGGGTTTCATTTGACATATTTGTATACACAGTGTCCCTTGATGGGACTCAACTATTCCATCACTCTCCCTCAGCCCTCTTTCCCCCCATATGTGGTGCTGAGGAATCGAACCCAGGGCCTCATGCGTGCAAGGTAAGCACTCTACCACTGAGCCACCTTCCCAGCTCTCCCTCAGCCCTCTTCACAAACCAGTTTCACCAAGCTTCCTTGTTCCACTTCCATACATGAAGTTTTTTGACCCTCCTTCTCCCTCTCCATTCTCTCTCTAAAGTCACATTTTTATATAAATTTTATATTGGTTATTACCTCTTAAAACATTCTTCTGAGTCAGAAGTAAGCAAATATTTTCTGCTTAAAGGCCAGGCCACAATAGAAAACATTTTAGACTTTGCAGTTCATCTACTCTTTGTCACAAAAACTCTGTAATTTAATGGGAAAGAAACTATAGAAAATGCTTAAATGAGAATAGCTTGTGGCCCCCCAAAAAAATTTATTTACAAACATAAAGTTGGTCAGATTTAGCTATAAGGTGTAATTTACCAACCCCTGTACTAAGAAAAAACATACAAGCTACTTTGTGTACATTAGTCTTAATTTTTATACCCTATAACCTCTGTACAAATTTGGAATGTTATTTTACTTAGTTACTTCACGGAAGCCAAGGGAAGATGAAAAAGATGGCCAAGCATATAAATTTGTGTCACGATCAGAGATGGAAGCAGATATTAAAGCTGGAAAGTATTTGGAGCATGGGGAATATGAAGGAAACCTCTACGGAACGAAGATAGACTCTATTCTTGAAGTTGTCCAAACTGGACGGACATGTATTTTGGATGTCAACCCACAAGTGAGCTGCATAGATTCCAAAGCTGTTTTAAAATTTTTATTTCCTGGGAAGTTTTTGCTTCTGCATATGCTAGATGGGAGTGTTTGCTTTCTTAAACAGAGACAACTCTTTGTCTCTTAACTTTCGGTAACAGAGAACATCATTATGCATCGATAGTTTGTTAAGTAAATAAATATCTGATCAATTAGCCAGTAGGGCCTTAAATAGCAATAGAAATCTTATGATTAAATAAGTTTAATGTTTTACTTGTTTATGTAATACATAAGTGCATATGTCAGGAAATACTAAATTTAAAACTCAAAGCTGCAACATAAGGAATCAATTCTCTTTCCATATCTGTCTTACTCACCCCTTCCGATTCCTCTACACTCAGCTCAGCCTTTCTACTCAGATAAATAAGTACTTGGTGTATATCTTTCTAGTCATTTTTGTATGCTATAAATGCAGATATATACAGACTGTAACTGATTTTCTATTTTTTGTCACTTTATATAAGTGGAATGATTACACACAGATTCTTCAGCATTTTTATTCTTGATCTCTTCATTGTCAGTTTCTGAAAAGCTGTTTTTATTAGTTTTAGTAGCTGCATAGAATTTCATTGAATGTATAGTCACTTAATTCTGAAGTTATTTCTGCTTTTTCAATATTAACAGAATTTGACAGCTCTCTTAGAGTTTACATCAATCATTTTTCTGTTAATTTTTACACTTTTCAAGAAGAGTGAGACCAGATTCACAACAAAATGGACCGTTTCAGGAAATTAATTGGAGTTAGAAGGGTAGAGTGAGGGCAGATGGTAAATGATATCCTCAATTCTTAGAACTAGAGCAGGTAGACTTTGGTTTACACTAAATGATAATGTACTTTAGATTCTAGTGCTCTATACATTGGTTTCTAATTATGCTTCTACACAGGCACTGAAAGTGTTGAGGACTTCAGAGTTCATGCCGTATGTGGTCTTTATTGCTGCCCCAGAGCTAGAGACACTACGTGCCATGCACAAGGCTGTGGTGGATGCAGGGATCACCACCAAGCTTCTGACTGTAAGTGCTGCTTTGCAGACAGGCGGTTTTATTTTCCCCAGATTGTTTCCTTCTCTTTTCATCTGAGTATGCTGCATTCTATCTAATAGTATCTAAACGTACTATACAAGATATTATAGAATAAAGATTAATTCACTAGACTTAGTTAAAATGTAGAAACAGTGTTGCTTTTAATTGAGAATCCTTATTATATATATTTATATATATATATGTATATATATATTTTTTTTTTTTTTTTTTTTAAATTTATCAGCCATTGGACTTGAACTCAGCCTGGGCGCTGTCCCTCAGCTCTTCAGCTCAAGGCTAGCACTCTACCACTTGAGCCACAGCACCTCTTCCCATTTCTGAGTGGTTTGCTGGACATAAGAGTCTCACAGACTTTCTGCCTGGGCTGGCTTTGAACCATGATCCTCAGATCTCAGCCTCCTGAATAGCTAGGAATATAGGCATGAACCACAGGTGCCTAGAAAGAATCCTTATTTTAAAACAAAAGTTGTGGTCTGGGAAGGTAGCTCAGTGGTAGAGTGCTTGCCTTGCATGCATGAGGCCTTGGGTTCAATTCCTCACCATCACATAAGCAAAAAGAAAAAAAGCTGGAAGTAGCGCAGTGGCTCAAGTGGTAGAGCGCTAGCCTTGAGCTGAAGAGCTGAGGGACAGCGCCCAGACCCAGAGTTCAGGACCCACGACCAGACCCCAAAACAAAAACAAAAGTTGTCTGTCTTTTATAAAAAATGAAAAGCATTATACTAAGATATGCATATTAAGTCAGCCCTCTCAGTTTACTAATAAGGAAATGAAGCCTCAAGATATTTAACAAACATGTTCATCCGATGCCTTCTTTCTAGTAGGGTCCCATGTTCTCTGTTTAGTTTCTGTGACAGGCTTCTCTTTCATATTATAGAAAAGAGAAAGATACATTCACAAAAAGGCCAAATGACCCTCATGTGCCCGTCTCCTAGCTTTAATAATACCTAGCCATTCTTGTTTCCATTCTCTCTGTCTTCTCCGTTGGCTTGATTTATTTTGAAGCAAATCTCTGATATCCATGGCATCTATACTTTATTATTTATTTCTAAAACATAAGAACTTCTTTAGAAACAAGATCATAACATTACTAATTTAAAAAAATAGTATTATAATGTTAATATCTCTTCTATGTTTTAATTTCTAAACCTTAGAATTTTTTATAGTTGATTTGTTCAAACCAGGATCCAAATAAGATCAACACATTGCGTTTACTTAGTGTCTCCTTAATCTCTTATTTTTTTCAGCTTAATTGATGTATAATTGATATCTCTATTTATCTAAAAGTATCCAATTGATAAGTTTGGGCCTATGCATGCATTCATGAAAACTATCAACCAAAATACTGATGTCCTTTAAAACTTTTCCTGTGCTCCTTTATAAAAATCCCTGTACCACCATCCCCTGCTTCACTTTGCTCTTCCCATCCTATATAGCAGATAAGGTGCCTTCAAATCAAGTGATCTAAGTCCTCTTAGCTCTTTTAAATTGCTCCATCTCTTCACTTTCTGAAATATACTTACAATAAATGCTTAATGTTGTTGTCTACTACTAATTGTAATTTTACCAGTTCTGGGCCACTTGGAGTAAATAACTGATTTTTCTCATTGTGGGCTGTATTTTCCTCCTTTTTTTTTTTCCTCATACCTGTCCTGGGGATTGAGTTCAGGACCTGGGCATTGTCCCTAAATTTTTTTTCCTCAAGGCTAATTTGTTTTATCAACTTGAGCCACAGCTCCACTTCTGGCTTTTTTTTTTTTTCTGGTCATTTGGAGCCAAGAGTCATGGACTTCCTGCTCAGACTAACTTTGAACCACAGTCTTCAGATCTCAGCCTCCTGAGCAGCACTTGGCTTCTTCCTACTCCTTAAAAAAAAAAAATTATTGTCAAAAAAATTATTGTCCTTAAGTAGTTGTATAGAAGAATTTTGGTATGTCTTTGCAACGCTGATCTTTTATACTAGGCATGAATTTTCTAAGTTGCAGTTATTTGGAATTACCATTTTTCTCAGGTCTGGCTTTTTAAATTCTCATTCTAGGGCCCATTATTTTCTACTGTGGATGAGACCTGTTTGGTGCTCTATTTCTGTATGGCCAGTAAATTTTCAGGGTTTCTATTCTGATAGGAACAAATATGTTCTCATATGGTGCTGTTTTTTGTTTTGTTTTGTTTTTACCTCTGATGTTCTATTCTTAACTGTCTCCCTTGGGCTCTTCCTGGGCTCCCCATCTAGAAACTCTTTTCAAGGCATTAAACTGGAGTAATCTCAGAGTACCCTTCATTTCGTTCTTCTTTCTTTACGATCTCTGGCCTTCATTGCCTGATGTAGTTCTTTCAAGGTAGTGTTTGACATTTTTGCCTATGTTAGGTTGCCATGTGGCAGCATTAGTCTAGCTCTTGTTATGCTACCTTTTAGGTCTCTTTTAGTCAATAAGTTCCCACTAGCTTTCTCTGTGTCCTCTCTTTTGACATTGTGATTGATTTGTTCAAAACATTAAGTCATTTGTCCTATAGAGTCTTCCTCATATCCATTTGTGTTCCATAAACTTACTGGTAGACAGAGAGGCCTGGTCAGAATGCTTATTCAGGTTTGATGCTTGGTTTTTGAAAAGTCCATTTGTAATTAGCATTTGTTTCATTACATCATTAAGCATATGTCAGACTCTCTTCTGTGATAGGGTCAAGCAATGGGTTCAGAGGTTGTGTGATCTAGAAAGTTCCCTAGTAGCATTTCACTTAATGATTTCAACAAATTTTAAACCTTTATCTGAATCAGTTACGTTTTTAGGGGTGGCAAAGTAATAATCTAAATTTATTATTCTTTAATTTATAAACCAGAGCACTTGTGTGTGTGTGTATGTGTGTGTGTATATATATGCCTAAATTGGAGCTTGAACTAAGGATCTTGTACTCTTACTCAACTTTTCACTCACACTGGCACTCTGTCACTTGAGCCACATCTCCACTTCCAGCTTTTTTTTGGCTAGTTAGTTGGAGATAAGATTTGTGTGTTTAAGCCAAATTCAGACTTTGTCAGTTCTCAAGCCTCCTCAGTAGCAAACTGGTGTGCTCCATCAGACTCAACCAAAGCAGTTCTTAAAACCAAGAAGAGCTGTTCCCTATTGGTTTCTTATTCTGAATACAATTCATATGGGAAAAGCAGAGTACATGTCTGATACTGTTGCTTTATAGGTCATCTATCTTTTAGAATAATATACTTGTTCCCTCAACCTCCATGTGACTGATTGTGGCTAGTTTTCTTTGGTTTTTGTTTATGGAATGCGTGGATTCAAATTTACTTGATACACTTTCCGTACACTCTATTGTAGTAATCTTCTTCATACTCAAATTGCCCTACCTTTTTTATTTTTCCCCTGGTATTCCTAAGGCTTGAACTCAGGGACAAAGCACTGTCTATGAACTTCTTTGTTCAAGACTAGTGCTCCACCACTTGAGTCACAGCTCTACTCCTGACTTTTTAGTGATTAGTTTGGGTTAAGAATCTCACAGATTTTACTCTCTGGGCTGTCTTTGAACTGCGTTCATCAGATCTCAGCCTCCTTAGTAGCTAGGATTACAAGTGTGAACAATTAGCACCCAGCTAAATTGTCCAGTCTTTGACCATTATAAGTATGTATTCATTGACTTGACACCTTTATCAACCTGATGATTTTTGCTTCCTTGATACCTTACATGACAGATATTTCATGCTTTACTTGTATTTCCTATTCTAGACCAGGAGGCAGCTATCTCCCTGTGTTGCTCAGGTTCCTTAGAGTAAATTATATTTTAAGACTAAAAGAGGTGCACATTGTCATAGGGTTAATCATTGTTTTGTTTTGTTTTTGTCAGTCATGGGGCTTGAACTCCGGCCTGGGCGCTGTCTCTGCGCTCTTCAGCTCAAGGCGAGCGCTCTACCACTTGAGCCACAACACCACTTCCAGTTTTCTAGTGGTTTATTGGAGATAAGAGTTTCCTGCCTGGGCTGGCTTTGATCAGTGGCCGTGATCCACAGTTCTCAGCCTCCTGAGTAGCTAGGATTATAGGCGTGAGCCACCAGCCCCAGCTAATCATTGTAACTAGGCCTTTTTATGTAGACAGAGCTTGACATATGCTTCTATCATACTTTTTCAATTCATATTGATACTCCCAAACTTTTCTTCCCAAACTTTCAATTCCTTCTTTCTTCTCAACACTGGTGGATAGTTAGAATATTACACAGGCTATTTGCTTTATGCCTTGTATGCACACAACAGTCTGAGAGCAAGTACATCATCTACTATCCTATGGTATGGTTACTATGAAGATTCCCCTACCCACACACACAGATTTCTTTCCAATATATTCTGCTAAGTATAGTCAGCCAAATCATTCTGTTGTAGTATGTCTTGCAGTACTTCCTCTTTGTATTTTTGGATCAGTTGATTATTCTTTTTGCTGTTTAAATTATCCTGCTTTCAACTAGAGGTAAGCTCATTCAACTTGGCCTCTGAATCTGTTTAACATAACCATTAGTCTTTGCTTCTTAGAATGACAGGCTGTTCCAGATTGTTCTTAGACAGTTTCTGGCCCATACTTGGAACTAGCCACACAAATACCCTGATCCCTTTTAGTGGGAAATAGTTCTCAGAGATAATCTTAAGTGTGCTAAGGGTGTACATTCAACTCAGATAGGCATCATTCCTAGGCTAGTCTGTGGTCTGAAAAAGGATTTCTTTTTGTTTGTTTTTTTAATGAACATCATTAGTTCAACTTCATAGTTTCATTTCAAATTTCACATTACGTTTATTTCTTTGACCCTATATTTGCCTTTTTATCTCTTATGCTGGAAGTCTTGGTTTCTCATGACATCAACCTAATTAATTTTATAAGTGTCTAAGTATAGAAGTACACATATATAATTTTCTTAGTAGAAAGTTTTCTTAGCTATTCATAGGCTATATCTCACTAGATACTGTCATTTTATTTTAAAATCATCAAAATAATTCTTTCCCATGTGATTAAGCACCAGCTGGAAACACTGGGTTGTTTCATCTCTGCTTTAAATTTTTTCAGTATGATTTTTTTCCACTTGAATTTAATTTTGTTGTACAATTTTATACATTTTCATAGTTGGAATGCAAATCTTAAAAAAAATAATTTATATTTCTGTGTTCTGTCCACTCTGTTCTTTTCCACCCCCATATATAACTATTTGAGGTAACGATTTTTACTGTTTTAAGTGTGTATGTGTATTTCTCTGGATTATTATATAAAATGGGGCTTATTGGGCTGGAGGTATAGCTCAATGGTAGAACTTACCTAACTTGTAGAAGACCTGAATTCCATTCTCCTCGCCACACATACACTCAAAAAGTAAGCTTGGGTTTTTTTTTTTCTTTTTTTGACATATCAACAAATGACTATAATAGTTAAGAATTGCTTTCAGCTTGAATAGTAGCCTGATAGTATTTCTATAGCCAAGATATTTTACTTGTTTCTTACTTTCAAATCTCTCGTACTTTCAAACTTACTTTCAAGTCTCAGTGGAAATTTGTAAGGATTTAGGTTCCTTGGCCTAGTGGCAAAATCCACTTCTCTCTCTACACTTCCCTTTAGGTGTTTTCACCTATTCTGATGAACTTCATAGACCACAAAGCCATGACTTCTCACCTACTTTATACCTCAGACATTGTAAACTTCAAAAAAAAATTCTCTATTCATTTCAACCCCTTAACTTACATCTTCTAAGCCTGTATTATATGCATTTACTCAAGCTAGAAACCTAAGAGAAGCTTTTATTTCATTCTTGTTATTCAGATAATCCTGATTATTTTATCACCAAAATAAATGTCCAGGCTGGCGTCTTTACCATGTCCTTTACCACTGTTACAATCCAGGTAGAGGTAGCCTTCCCACCCCACCTCTCACCCCGCCCCAGTTCCAGGACTTGAATTTAGGGCCTGGGTATTCGTTCCTTAGCTTTTTCACTCAAGGCTGATGATGATCTACCAGTTGAGCCAGCTTTTTGCTGGTTAACTGGAAATAAGAGTCTTATGGACTTTCCTTCTCAGGCTGGCTTTGAACTGTGATTCTTAGACCTTAGCCACTGGAGTGGCTGGGATTACAGGTGTGAGCCACCCACACTGAGCCCAGGTAACCATTTTCTCTGACTGGATCACAGCCACCAGTCTTCCTGCATTCACTTATATGTCACATTTCAACCTGAGACCCTTATCACATCTAGCTGTTCACGACCTTGCCTCAACCTACAACCCTCCATCTCCGTCTCTTTAATATTCTAGGGCCATTTCCTTTCTGGACTTGACACTGCTGAACCCTCTGCCTGGAATGTTCCTTCTACTACACATATGACAACTTCCTTATTTTCTCTTGCTTTTTGGTAAACTGTCCTTTGCTCAATGTCTTTCCAGTCACTCTGTCTCAAGTTGATCTCTTAAAATGCTTTGCCTTTGTTTCTTTTATAACTTGCAGTTTGTATGTGTTTATTTGTCCATTATCTGTCTCTTCCACAGCAGACAGGAGCCTTCTCTGCCTTACTCATTGTTATTGCTACCGATTACGAAACAGCAGGAGCTCAAGTAAATATTTGTAGGATATAGAGTCATGGAATTTTATGAAAAGCTCTACTTGCTCATACAGAACCCATTAGTTTAGTTAGTGGCTTGCATGAACTACATAGCCCATAAGATAAACATCTTTTGAAAGGAATCTGAAACCTATCACCTTCAATAATTCTTTTATTACCTTATAAACACCCTAGGATTATAGTCAGCAGTCTTTTAATTAGGAATTCTATCTTCATGTCAGCAAAACAGAAGGTAAGGAATACCCAAAATACAAATATAAATGTAGATGGAAAAAGCTAAGAGATGAAAAAAATGCTATTTTTAATACTGAATAGATTTTAAAGATTAATATCAGAATCATAATAAACAAGTTAACCTCTTGCATTGAAACTCCTTTGTGTAACTATTTAAAGATAAAAAGTAAAATTTTAGAAAGGATTATAATAAACACATATCTGCTGGATCTATGTCTTATTTGCTTTTAGAGTTTGAGCAAGTAAATATGTATTATAATATGAACATTATCTTTTAAAACTTTTACAGGATTCAGACTTGAAGAAAACAGTGGATGAAAGTGCCCGGATTCAGAGAGCCTACAACCACTATTTTGATCTGATCATCATAAATGACAATCTAGACAAAGCCTTTGAGAAACTACAAACTGCCACAGAGAAACTGAGAATGGAGCCACAGTGGGTTCCAATCAGCTGGGTTTACTGATGATACAATAGGCTAACAATTAAAATAAAACTAGTGACTCAACAAATAAACCTTCTGCTGAGAGAATACATGCACAGATAGAAGATAATCTGCCCAATCAAGGCATTTTTATTGTGTAGAATGAAATAACAGTACACTATTCTGAATTTTTATATAAAATGTGGTTGAGAAGGTGTACTAATATATAATTTATCTTAATTTTTCTAACTTTTTATGGATAATCTTTCTATTCATATCACATAAAGAAATGCGTTGAAGCATTTTGTATGTTTTGATTTAGTGCCCTTACCTTTTTCATCAAAGGAATTTTCAGATCATTCACTCTTAACATTGGTCTCACATTTTCACTGTGATAATGAATACTTGAAATAGTTTTGTAAAGCTGTCATCTAGTTCAGTAACTAGTGAAGGGTCAGATGCTCTTATTAGAAGAAAATCGTAGTTATCAACCTTTCCTTCTTAATCAGAATTTTACAGAGGCAGGATTTTAAAATCAGTGCTATGGCTACTCTCCTACCATCTAAGTCTGATATCAGAAAATCCTTCCAATGTCATGTATTTTACATTATTTCAGTGATTGATTGCTAATTTATACAGTAAGATTAGCTTTTCCCCCTCGTTTCTAACGAGTGAAGAAATGAAGAGCAATTGCACTCTCTTACAAGATTATTCTTTTCATTTGTTGCTGTGACGTGCTGATGCTAACTGACATGTATAAAATCTTGAGCCAGGTCATGCACACTGAGAGAGTGCCTTATCCTGGAAAATACAAATTCATACTTTGAAAGGTATAGTCAGTAAAACTGTGCCTCTGCAAATGTCTGTGCTGTTTAAAGATGGCTCTAAGTTTACCATTGGAAGTGTTTTTGTGAAGGATCCCTGATTTTTGAATGTGATGTTAGTGTTAGGGTACTTGTTATCTTTGTTGTATGAGGAAATCAAATCCATTGAATAATATACAAAAATTAGACATATATGTCTGTTTTATATATACACATAGTGGGTACATTATATAATATGTATCATATTTTATATACATCATAAAATATGTATTATAATGGTTTGAGGGTTTTGACATTTCTTTTAGGAAATGTACTTTTTTGCTGATAACTAGGAAAAAGCTCTTTAGATGCATTGATTGCCATAATATAAAAATTCCCACATTCACCTCTGTCTTTCCTTAAGGACTTTCACATGGTATAATTTTTTTCTGAAAAACATTTAGAGGTCCAGATCATTGCTAACAACTTAACCGTATTCTGTGTCACTTCCACCTTTTCATATACAGTTTTCATACTTTAAAAAAGGGTTAGGTATTTAAATATCGATGAGACTCTTTGGTGACAGAGATACCTGGCTACTGTATTTGTTTAAAGTGGAAATCTTAATCTATAGCATTTTTGTTTGTTTTTATGGGTTTTATAGCCAGAATATAAATTCTTTTCCCAAAACCTAAAAATTCCCCTTTTAATAACATTGGAAAGTGCTAAACTATATTTGCTCCAAAATCTTGGCTTTTTGAAACAACGTGAATGAAAGCACACTACTGAGGTGAAAGCCTGTGACCTAATATTTCAATACACCATATGTTTAAGAGAAATATCAGTTCCACACACCCACAAAATGGATCGTGTTTCCCTAATATACCTGCATACTGCTGCAGGAAAGCTTTTCACACAGCTTTGGGATGACTGGAACAGCACAGACGCTTATCCACAAAGTATTTCTACAGCACTGCTGTGCTGAGGCCAGGAGGTTCAGAGGCCCCACCTCAGGATTTTTCCAGGTAATGTAATGAAGGAAATGTGTCCTCCTCTTACAGGAAAAGTCTGAATTAGTCAACTTCCTTATAATAGCTTTACTGAAGAAAAATGGTTTACAGTGATACTGAATAAAGGTAAACAAGGTGTGCTGATATGTAACACCTGAGGATTCCTGTGGCCAGATGAGAGTCCACATCTAGCACTTGGCATGACTGTTTATGTACATGTCCGTTTTCAAACGTACGGTACAGATAATACTCATGGAGGTGATGTCCCTCTGCATTATCTCTACATTTAGCTGTAGCAAGCAGACTATGTTTGATGCCGTATAAGTAGAATTTTTACCTTTATTATAGCCTAATTTTTATTATGAAGTCCCCATTCTTTGATATTTAGGTAATATCCAGTGTCAAATACGTCAGGAGTCTGTTTCATTTTGGCCAACTTCATACAGTTGTTGACTATAGCTTTCCAAAAGAGAAACTGTTAATAGAAACCCAGTATGGCTACTGCAGTAGGATTCTATACCCTAGATTGTAGAGACTAATCGATTTATTTATTACAGCCTATAAGAAGTTTTCTTTAAACTGCAAATTGGTTAAGACACACCCACAGTTTAACCTAAATTAGCAATAAAATCCAGTGGTATAATTTTATGACCAGATACTGTTTTGCCCATGCTAATGACAATAAAATCCTTATCTTAAAATTTTCATGTATAACAAGTGTCATGATCCAAAGATTTGAGTTAATTTTTAAGGTAAGATCGCCATAGAATTATGTATTGTTATTTTGAATCGGCAAATTCAAAATCTGAACGTTTGTAAATCACTTAAAATAATTTACTTAGTAATGTTACTTGGATAACTTCTGAAAAACTCCTTTATTCAGAATCATGGATTAGAGAGCCAATAATTTTATAATATCCAATCTTTATACTAAATATGAAAACGGCAATCCTAAAATTTTGTGTACATAAGTAGTTCATTTTTAAATGTTGAGTAGCTGTAGCTATGTGTATAAATACATATATAGACACAGCTATGTGTAGAATATTTAATATTCTCCAAAAATACATGAATAATAAAAATATTTACCCATATAAGTGGTTTTCTAAAATTTTTCATTATTCCTTAATTTATTAGACATTCTGAAATAGTTTGTTTTTAAAGGCCCTGGTTCAACCCTGAAGCTGATACTAATTTCCTTTCAGAAAAATATGTGAGAAATTAAACTCGGAATATTGTTCTAACATAATTTTCCCAAGAAAAAACAGAGTTCTAGATAGAAGCCTCTTGGGAAAAGCATATTTGAACTTCAAATGAATTTGTGCCATGATCTAGTCTTAAAGATTATAATACCCTCCCTCCTCTTTTGTTTTTGTTTTGTTGTTGTTTTGGTTGGTTGTGGAGCTTGAACTCTGGGCCTAGGCACTGTCCCTGAGCTCTTGAGCTCAAGGCTAGTGCTCTACCACTTGAGCCACAGCACCACTTCCAGTTTTCTGGTGTTTAGATATAAGAATCTCAAGGATTTTCCTGCCTGGGCTGGCTTTGAACTGAGATCCTCAGATCTCAGCCTCCTGAGTAGCTAGGATTACAGGCGTGAGCCACCGGTGCCAGCACCTCCTTTGTCATAAGAGAATATTTGCGTAATATGTATAATGTATTTGGAGTTCCTGGGGAAAACTCAGTATTTTTAATGATGGCATTATTATGTGTAGTGCTACTGGATATTACTCACAAGCATGTAAGAAGAATACACCTCGCCAATAATTAGGCATTGTGTCAGTCTTTATGTAAGTATGTGTGATAGGCCTGATGCTGGTGGCAGTTCTCTGGTATTTTAAAATAGGGTTATCATTAAACTGCATTTTTTTAACTCTTTACAAATTACATTCTTTTTAAAGAATATTTTCTTATATTTCATCATGTTAACATCTGTGTGCCTGGAATGAGTTGTGAAATACCCAGGATCAAACATGAATCCTTAATGTGTACAAGGAATGGTAGTGGCCCACTTGCCAGGTAAGGAGCATGGTTTCCACAGCTTTGACAGCACCCTGAAGTCACGATAAAAGTAAAACTAGTGCTTGTACTGCTGGCATCCTAATTCTGACTCTAGTTCTTGATAAAAATTTATACATTCATTTATCTTTACTATTGCCCATGTTGCATAGGGCTTCAGTTAATACCACCTTAAGTTATAAAGCCAAGAAAGGTAATTTGTAAATGTGATGTGGTAAATCTTTTAGACTTTTTTAAATATGTTCACGTACATTGAGCTTGTTTATCCTCCAGTTCCTTGAAGTCCATTTCATCTTGAGGTGATGCAGCTGATGGTAAACACCATTCAGGCCCGACCTTGGGGTTTGAGACAGCCGTTCCCCCCGCCCACCCCCTTCCCTCAGGCATGCAGTTCCAGCCGGGTTGAGGGTTTGTGCTGCCCTTTTGGTAGTGCTGTAGGACCACTGAGTCCCATTCTAGAATCCCACTCCAAATCCAGACAGTATAGACTCTGGTCCTTACCACTGCAGCCCCTGTTTAAGCCATTGATGTTAAGTTTAACAGTCATCTCTTTCTTCATAGGAAGAAACAGTCACAGTTCAGTCAAATTAATGAACCTCAAAATCCAGATAAGAATTATTTCTCTAATTGCTTCTCCACCATTGGCTGATAATTCAGATAATTCAATGGTGTGACAAATCTGACTACACACACAAAAGGTCGAAAACAACAGTTCCTTTCTTTTTCCTGCTTTCTCATCTCCAGCACAGACTGAATGAGTGTATCAGTGGAAGTAAATGCCACTTATAGCTTGAAAGTTAAATTACTGCTTCTAAAACAACTGTCTTTGAATGTCATGATATGGGTATTAGTGTTACCACAAAATAGAGATAGTCTGATTTTTATGGTATTGAGGATTGAACCCAAGACCTTTCACATACTAAGTATACATTCCACCACTGAACAATAAGCCCAGACCCCGATTTTAAAATAACTGTCTTTATAGGACTTCAGCTAGCCAGAGAAAGCAATATATGTAAATATGAGGCCATACTTAAAATTTCCTTTTTTTCCTTCCAAAAAGCTTAGAAGAATCTTTATGAGTCTAAATTAAGAAAGCACAGTATTAAAAGCTCATCAGCTCACACCTGTAATCCATACTAAGACGCTAGCTACATAGGAGACAGAGACCTGGAGGATCAAGCTTCAAAACCAGTCCAGGCAGAAAAGGCCATAACTATCTCCAATTAATGAACAACAACAAAAAAAACTGGAGTAGAGATGTGACTCAAGTGTGGTACAGTGTCAGCTGTGTGAGAAAAGGCACGGAGTTCAAGCTCCAGTTGCAGCATATACACAAAATCATCAGGGTGGGGATGCAGCATGCAACTGCATGCTAGAACACTTGGCATAAAGTCTTAGGTTCCATCCGTGAGCAGCAGCCGCAACAATGACAAAATCTCATCAGAAATAAATTACACAATATCAAAAAATAAAGTCATCATCTCCTTAACAGGAGAGGTGGGTTCTGCCCACCTCTGTATGTCCTTTGTATGTCCTTGTTTTGAGGACATAACAAACCTTATAAATAGGCTCCAAGTGGTTACCTTAGTCTTTTCAGGAAGAACCAGATAGGATGTCAGAGTTTATATCTATACTTGAAGTACAAAGTAAATATTTTCTAAAGCTATGTGTCCTCTTTTAAAAATACTGCTGACTGGCTGCTGTCTTGTCCTTAACTTGTGTTAAGCAGTCTCTTGTATCTGCAGCCGCAGTAGGGACCCAGTGACTGCAGTGTTCTGTGTGGAACTATGAGCTCTCTTAGAGCCCATGAAGAGTAGGTGATGCGAAGAACCTGGTTGTGGCTTTCCTTTTTTCTTTTTAATAATCTCTGCCTCTCCCCTTCCCCCAGTTCATTTCAGTATAGCTTTTAAATACAAATACATGCTCTCTGTAACAGTTTTTTTTTTCCCCACAAGAAGAGGCAATATGTTTATTAGTCATCAAAATCAAAGCTGAGCAAAACTGTTTAGATTTCTGATGAAAAAGTTTAAACACTAAGTACTACAGTTGTCCCAGTAACTGTATCACCACTTCCTATTCTTCTTTTTTTTTTTTTTGGTGGTGGGGTCCAGTCATGGGCCTGAACTCTGGGTCTGGACGCTGTCCCTCAGCTCTTCAGCTCAAGGCTAGCACTCTACCACTAGGGCCACAGCACCACTTCCGGCTTTTTTTTTTTTCTGCTTATGTGGTGCTGAGTAATCGAACCCAGGGCCTCATGCATGCAAGGCAAGCGCTCTACCACTGAGCCACCTTCCCAGTCCACCGCTTCCTATTCTTGTATAAAATCTTACTGTTCTTGTATAAAATTTTCTCAGTCCAATTAAGCATTCAGCTTTCAGAAATTTCTTATTACTAACATATTTCCATTTATTATCCAAGAAAAAATTGATTGAAATATTCAATTTGTGAGAGCCCTGGTAAAATTTTTGTACTAAAAAGGTAGTGCTTTGCTGGGACTTGGTGACTCACACCTGTAATCCTAACTATTCAGGAGGCTGAGATCTGAGGATCATGGTTTGAAGCCAGCCCAGGCAGGATAGTCCATGAGACTCATCTCCAGTGCACTACTGATAAAATAGCTGGAAGTGGTGCTGTGGCTCCAGTGGTACAACACTAGCCTTCAGCAAAAAGGAGCTCAAAGACAGTGCCCAAGCCCAGAGGCCCAGTTAGCGTTTGGGGGGTACAGGGGAGAGTTTATAGGTAGAGGACAGGGTATCAGATCAGCATTGTCAATTTCCTTTACTGCCAGTAGTCTTTGTATGGTCTCTTGTGTGGTTTAGTTTCTCTGACCTAAGTAAAATTTTTGCCTGCCTTGCTTATTCTGACTTCAAAATCAGAACTTCAGCATTGGAGGGGATAAAATGTAAGAACAAGATCACATACAGATTGCTTAGTTGTGGTGGCTGTTTCCCAGGAATTCCTGTTGGCCAGGAATGAGTAGGCTCTGCTGTGTATCACAGCCCTGGGCCTGCAGCTCCTTAGAGAGGAGCAGTGGCTAGCAAGCAACGGAGATGGGCAGGCCCTTTACAGGAAGGGCTCTTTGCAGATGATTGCCAGGAGTTCACGTCACACTTGAGAAAGTGCTAGTCTAGTATAGCATGTCTCCACACCAGGCTTTTTTTATATTGTTCATTACTCCACATGATGCTCCGTCTTACCTACAATCTTTGTCTTTTAATTCAGAGGACGATCCATAAAGATGTCTAAGAGGAATACAGGAGTCCCTTTGCCTCTTGTCCCAACATCTTAAGTCCCTAAACACAAATGAACACTTCCAGGTTTCTTGTGATACATACACTTTTATACTAGGAGGTTCTTGGTACACATTCTCTTTGCAGTTTATTCTTTACATTGATGTCAGAAAACCAGACAAAAAGGGACCTAGGGTGCCACTAATTTAGCACAACTACTTCACTTGTATATTCTTCCCACTTTGTGTAGAAGGGAACTGCTTTTGAAGTCACTACCACAGTGTGCAACTTAGATCCTTTCCCCCACATATAATAAGCAGTTGCCTAAGGCTAGTCTCATTTTCAAAGAGGTGATGAAAGTATTATTTGCTTTATTTCATCCTTGTTCATGTTTCTTAAAATATGAAAGGACAAAGGGTGGACGTGGGTGGTGAAGGAAAAGAGAACATACTAATGTGCTTCTCTCCTCATCCCAGGGCCTTCCAATCCCTGAAGGCTGACAGACCCTGCCCTTGGGATCAGCAGCCCTCAGGGAGACAGCCATCAAAACAAAAGGGCAAAATACACTTCAACCTTCCCTTTGATCAAAAACAGTATGTGACATTTTAGGTACCCATAATTCATAAGAATACCACAGTCATAGAATTAGTCATATTCATGGGCTGCAGGTCTGGCTTAAGTGGTAGAGCACTCAAGTAAGGAGCCCAAGGCGATAAATGCAAACACCAGAACCACCAAAGGAAGAAAAAGGAATTAGTACGTTCATCAATGCATGTTCAAATAAAATGTACATTAGCTAGACTCCCAACAAGGAAGGACTACTGTTGTAATACTTAAACATAATTTTGTTTTGCGGAGGTTTTGGGGAAAGTGTGTGTGTGTGTGTGTGTTCATACACGCTAGTGGCATTTACAGTTCATTTTTCAATCACCAAAATTCACAGCACTTCCAAAATGTAACTTCTTCTGAGAGGATACAGAAATTGCTTTCCCATAGTATTCACAATTTAAAATGAATTTTGGATTAAAGTGTTCAAAGATTCATGTTATTGTATAACAAAGCCAAGAAGTGTATATAAAAGAAACAATGGATGGTCCATTATTCTTCAAGGAACAGGTTTGAATAGGCATCTCAGCTCCACAGGTGTTAGAATCTAGCACAGGCCTCTGGAAAACAGCAGTTCTAATAAGAGTACCTACTGGCATTCATAGTACAAAACCACCTCTTAAAGTGCTCTATAAATATGTTCATTGATCAACTTTTAATGTGCAATTAGACCTAAATCCCAAAGTAGTACCCTAACAATTCTAAAGAGCACCCAGGCTTAAATTAAATTTAAAAAAAAAAAAAAAAAAAAGAGCACCCAGGCTTGGTCCTATAACATATACTGACAGACAGCTAGTGTTCCCTGCCTAGTGCATCAAGTCCACTCAAGGCAATGCAGAGAATTAGCGGGAGGACTTGAGAGTCCCTGAGGATGATGGCTTTCACAGATGACTGCATTCTCTCCAGGTTAATGTCGGCCAAGGCAAATAAGCGCTGCACAATCCCAAACCTTTCTGTGTCTTTCAGAGGAGCTAAGGCTGGGTCTTCAAGATCAGATATCTCATCATCAGACAGAGCATGCAGCTGAAATGACAAATTTAAGCTTATTTTAAAATGCCATTGAAAATCCATGGACTTAGACACTAATGCATTGCTCAGTATGAAAAAAAAGCAACAAATAGTTTAATTCCCCAAATAGATCAGGAAAACCATTAATAAGATATATTTTATATTTTGTTCCAGGGTAGAATCTTAAGCCTGATTTTATCCAATTTGCCTGAGTCTTCTAAATCCCCACTCTGAACTATGCCTGCTAGACCCAGTAATTCCAACTGATGAGAAAGGTCAGAGGTACCTTTTTCACACACCATTATGTAAGGGTTTGTCTATGGTTTTTTGTCTTGACGCACATTTGTGGCATGTTACAGTAATATGTTATACCATGCGTAATTAACTTCAGGTAATAAGGATTTACATCTCTTTAAGGAATCACTTTTGTATTAAGAATGTGCTACTCAGGGCTGGGAATGTGGCTTAGTGGTAGACTGCTTGCCTAGCATGCATGAAGCCCTGGATTCGATTCCTCAGTACCACATAAACAGAAAAAGCCAGAAGTGGCACTATGCCTCAAGTGGTAGAATGCTAGCCTTTAGCAAAAGAAGCTCAGGGACAGTGCCCATGCCCTGAGTTCAAGTTCCAGGACTGGCAAAATAAAGTCACTCCTCGTTTGTATGTGGAATATATATTGTCTAAACAGTTACCCACTGTGTTAAATAGGAAATAATCCCTCTTCTGTTTTGATGCCTCTTGATCTTCATTCTCCTTTGATTTCTTCTTTGAACCCATGTCAGCAGTGTCTGCCTGTCTCAATAGTCTCTACTGCAGACCGGTTCATGTGCACCTGTGAAGCAGTCATGGGCTGCCGTGTGTGTGTGTGTGTGTGTGTGTGTGTGTGTGTGTGTGTGTGTGTGTGTGTGTGTGTGTGTGTGTGTGTGTGTGTGTGTGTGTGTGTGTGTGTGTGTGTCCAGGCTCCACAATCCCTGACAGTACTTGCAGCTGTCATGGGCTGCCGTGTGTGTGTGTGTGTGTGTGTGTGTGTGTGCGCGCGCGCGCACGCGTGCGTGCGCGCACGCCCAGGCTCCACAATCCCTGACATTAGTACTTGCAGCTGCCCTAGTCTTGCAGTGGCATGTTGAGGGGACTTTTACAAGCCCCTCAATACTAACACAGGTGAGTCCAAGGTTTGTAGGAGACACCTAAGCCTATGACACCGCTCCCACAGATCTGGAATACAGGGAGGGATGGGGACTTTCACCTGGTTCTACAGAGTGAGCACAGATGATGCTAAGATCTGTGGCACCAGTAGCCATGCTAAGGGGGAAAGTCCTTGGGGACTCTCCTGGGTCCCATGGGGGAGATGGCAGTTGCTGGGGCTTGTAGCACTGCTAACTACTTTTTTGGAGTTGTGGGTCCAGCTACTTCTTGAGGACCCAAAGGACAAGCACAAGTGTTAGCCAGACTTTGGGCTCAAACAGTCTGTGAGCTATAGAGATGTTCCGTTGGTCTCCCAAGGCGTGTGGTGCTGGGGTCCATGCTCTTGAGCATGTAGGACTATAGGAGAGTCTTTCCCTAGGTCCTGCAGGTCAAGTGCAGGTAAATTTGGCATTATGGCCATAGAACTTTGAGGCATGGATATCCCTTGCCATACCTGGGAAGCTCTCTGCATTTTGAGCTGCTGTCCTAGACCAAACAAAATAGATGTGATCTTCCCCTTATCCTCAGGGACAAGCTTGGTTGGTGCTGAGGCTTGAACTCAAGACCTCTCAGTGCTCTACCACTGGGACTTTGTGCACCTACAGACCCTAAGCAGACCCCCATTAGTTCCTGTCTTATGAGTGCATGTATTGGTGGATATTGGGCCTCTGGTAATGAGTTCCTAGGGATATTGGATTGGGCTGGGAACTTTCTCAGCTTTTGCAACTGACAAGAGTAAAGCCAGGAATTTTCAGCGACTACAGTCCTAAGGTTCTAGGCTAGGAAGCCCTACCCTGGATCCTGGGGTGGGGCCATAGACTGTGCTCTCCTAGGTTGTGGAGCTCAGCTGGGAACTTTCCCAGATCATGATGAAATGGAATGGGTGAAGCAAGAACTTTGGAAAAGGCATGTAAGATCAGATTAATAATACAGAGTACAGAGAATAAAATGTGAAAAGTAAAGTAGCCCATTCATGGACTTCATGAAACCGTGTTTGAATCTGAAGAGAATCCAAAAGAATTTAGAAATATTCTGTGTGAGAGCAGCATTTCTATAAGGAATGTGCAGCCTGCCCAGGGCAACAATGTGGAAATGTATGAGTACTTTGTGTTTGTTACCAAAATCAGCTTTAGGAATCTATATCTTCCAGGTGCCAGGGGCTTATGCCACCTAGCTACTCAAGAAGCTGAGATCTAAGGATTCTGGTTCAAAGCCAGCCAGGTCAGGAAAGCCCATGAGAAGTGGAATTGTGGCTAAAATGGTAAAAACCCTAGCCTTCAGCACAAAAGCCCAAGGATAGTGAAAAAATCCTGAGTTCAAGCCCCAGGACCAGCACACAAAAATCTATACCTTGGTAGGAACTAGTAGTTCATTCCTGTAATTCTAGCTGCTCAGGAGGCTTAGGATCATACCATGAAGCCAAAAACGCTGGAAGTAGAGGGGTAGGCCAAGTGGTAGACCACCAGCCTTGAGTGAAAAAGCTAGACAGTGCCCAGGCCGAGTTCAAACTCCAGTAATAGCCCAAAATAAAAAGCCTCACCACATACTCAATGCAGCTATTTGGCCCACACTGAAGTAGGCTAGGATTTGACCCACTTTTCCCAGTGCAAACTACATCTCAGTGAGTTCAGAATGGGCTCCATTCAGCATGGAAGCTGCCAGCAGCACAGTGGCTCTGCGTCCTGCCTGGTGCGCAGGTGCTGAGTAGCACCCAACTTCCTTTTCTAAGTGGCTACCATCTGCTTTTGCCCAGAGGCACAGCTTGGTATTAAAGGGATTGCCATGACACAAAGCTGTGAAGTCTATTAGATTCTAATTCACCCACTTCACAGTTTTTGGCAAACATGTTAGTTTCCCCAAAAGCCTCTCAAAGTTCCTCAGACCACCAGACAAGATGAGACCGGGATGCAGGATTTCTGGGCCCTGTTCCAAGTCCTTTGAAGAAGCACATGATACTCAGGACTCCCTCAGGACGCAGGAGCCTGGCTATCACAGAATTACAGCAAATCTAAAGCAATTGTGTAAAGGAAAGTGGTCTCTGATTTCTCATCTGAAGAAGTGGCTCAAGTGGTAGCCAAGCAAAAAACCAAGTGCTTGCTTACCAGCCCAAAGGCCTTGAGTTCAAACCCCCACTTCTACCACACATACACAAAAGTACGCTGAAGGCAAACAAATACTTCTGCAGGTGGGAAGCAGAATACTTTTTACTTGAATCCCAGTGGTTTTGTGTTACTGGCTGCAGCAACAGAGCAGAACTTGAGTTAGCTCACATGGCATTGGGAGGACTTCTTTCTGTGCATAACTTTCTCAATGCAACTAATGAATCTGTAAATACGAAGGCTGGCTTGTGACCTGCTGATCACTCAGATACTGCCAACTGGAGCAGAACTCATGGAGCTGCTGTTCATTAGGATAATGATAACTTCTATAACAAAAGTACACCCCAACCATTGTCCTCAGCTGGCCCAGGATACACAAGCTACTATCTTTGCAAGGAGTTCAGTATTCCCCTGGGCCTCTCTTCACGCACAGGCTGTATCCTGTCTGCTCCTTGGAATAGTATGGCATGTAGAGTATAGTCTTCTGGTATCTGCAAAGTACCACCAAAAGCACCAGACTGCATTGCTCAGTGTTCTCACAGTGGATGGATTAACAAATGCCAGGTACAGTCTAGGCAGTCCCTGATCTGACAGCAGAGTTCTGAGCTGTGGTCGTTTGGGTTAACAGCAGCCTGGCCCTGGTCCTCGGTAACAAGACCTCAGGATCTAAGTGGGCCAGGCGTGCCCTGCCCCTCTGCCCAGGCTGAGCACCACCTGAGGGCCACCTGTCAGTGGCTCCTTCTACCAACAGTGGAGTCTAACTCGAAAAACTTAACCTTGACTCTCAGACTACACTCATCATTGCTTAACTCTTGCTTTTATAATGACATTTCTAAAAGAGAAGGTAAGATGAACACTGCCTCCCTAAGACAAAACAGTCCTGAATGCCTCTGGTGAATGTGATAGAGTAGAAGTGTAAGTGTAAGCCCAACAACCATGACAGATAGGGCTGTCAGGCTGCATTCAAGCTGTGGCCAAATTCCTGACCGGTGGGGACGCATGTGACTTGGGAGTGTAGAGCCTGCCGTGGGATGGGCAGGGAGCAGAGACCCCTCTGGGCTGTGGTGAATGATGTTTCACTAGATGTAGAGTTTTACCCTTCCCCCACCATTTCCCCATTCCTGTCCCTCCCAAAGTCCCCCACACCGCACTGCGTTCTCACCAAGTAGCACAGCGTGGGAATCATTTGGAGCTTACAGCAAATACCCAGAAGAGTGGCAACATTATCTGGCATTTCTGCAGGAAACAAAGCTTAGATCAACAACAAAAACAAGTTCATCCACGCCAAGTAGGGTGGTGTACACCTGTAATCACAGCGTTCAGGAGGCTGGGGCAGGCGCATCACTAGTACAAACCCAGCTTGGGCTACCCAGCAAGGCTCTGCCTCCCGCCCCCACCAAAAACTTCCCCTGAAGGATGCTTAAAACCAGCCGGGTGGGGGAGGGGGTGCGGGGGAGGGGAGGCTGCTGAATAATTATCCCGTAAATGAAAGGTACTAAATGTACTGTAGACCTTTTTGAAAAGCATGGGAATCCTGTCACCAGAGCATATTCCTTGGCATTCACCAGTCAGGGAGAAAATGTGGATTGTGGGAGAAAAGAATCAGCATGGAAAAGTAGAGCCTGTCATCTGGTGACATGGTTTGAGCCCCTCACATGATCAGGCTCCAAGGATGCATGAGTCACTGGGCCTCAAGTTCCTCATGTACCATAGATTATCTTGGGGGAGCATATTTCAAACTGCATAAACCATGAAGGGATTCTACCCATGGCCCCAAACATTTAGGGAGAGTTGTTCAGCATAGACTAATATAGCGGTGGCACCTCTGTGGCAGGGGCCTGTCAGTTCCCAGGGAAAGGGAATACAAGTCTGTTATTCCAAATAGATATTAGGATACTACCAAAACAGCTACAGTTCCTAAAACAACCTCAATTCATGGGGTACAAGCTTAGAGCTGAAAAGGGGGAAAAAATCACCTGTTGAACCACCTGGGAAGAGGCAGGATGGGGGTAGGGGGTGTTGACTGCTCAGGAATTATTCTCACCTGCAGCATTAACAGCCTTACTTATATTTTTTAAAAATCCAACATGTATGCTAATGTATGCTAATTTTATAAAGTACCTTAATTGGCCTCACTCCAGATGCCACAATGAGTTTTCCCCCAGCAGCCTCAAATTCATTCACCTGGCCCACAAGATCTCGGCAAGCAGGCCTTGGCCCAGCTCTGATGCTATCAACTCATCCTGGCAGTGGCCTCCCTGATCAGCCAAGTCAGCCATACCCCAGGGCCTTTGCAGTAACTCTTCCCTCTGCCTGGATTTCTCTCACATTTACAAGTCTGTTTTCAACCCATGTTCAGTTTAAACAGCGTCTCCTAAGACAGAAGGATGAATTTAAAGATGCCTGTCGTTATAAAAGCTAAGAATTACCGTAATTATCTTCCAGTCTATGTAAATGCCGTTGTAAATGAACTTCTGAATGTCTGGGTTACTAAAAATAATGATGAAATTAAAAAAGGCAGCATGTCACTGAACCTGCAATCTAGAGGACAGCAGAACAAGGCTCATTCTCAAAAGAGAGCAACCAACGGCTGCTAGGAAAAAGGAGGCAGGATCCTGCGGAGATTTCCCCCAAGCAGTGCCTTCAGCTGTGGTCCCTGCACCCCGAGAAGACTCACGCCAGGAAGATATGAGAGTTGACATGCATCCTTGGGGAAGGATGATGGACTGGGGACGGCATTATTCTCTGGTGACTCTTTGAAAAACCAAATGGTCCTGGGCCTGTTCCTGTAATACTGGGAAGGGGCAGCAGGGGCTTGAGGCTGCTCAGCCACTTCTTCCCAAAAAGTAACAGCATGCCCAGCTTCCTCGCAAAGGGCAACTACCACCAGGGCCTCTGACACAGTGGGTCTGGATGAGAGCAACAGAGACATGAGCAGGCAGGGTCTGGTGGTCCACAGTCACTGATGGTCATTTTAGGATCCATGCAAGAGCCATGGCTGGCCCAGCACAACCCTGCCTCCAAGCCTTTCACATGGGACCCGAGACCCTCTGCAGCCTGGGGCCACCATAGACTGGGATGACAGATCCGCAGAGAGGAGCTGGGGAGAGCAGCTCCTCCAAAGGCAGAAGAGGCCCGAGGTAGTAAGGCTTGCTTCACGCTAGAGTCTAGAACTCTCCATTGGCCTCTGCCTCTTACCCTGACCAGACTGGAAAGGAGGAACCTGTTTTAATTACCAAACTTCCCACAATTATCTTTTGTGTTCCACAAAGCAACATGATTTCCACATTCCAGCAGTTTCTCTTTTGTCTGTTTCCATACCTGCTAGTGCGCTGACCAGGCAGTAGGCTGTGGCAAAGAGTTTCTGGTTGCTGATCTGGTCTTCAGGGCCAGGGCGCTCACCCTGTACCCTGCACCCCACCAGCCCCAGGAAGGCGGTCAAGTCCTGCTGCTGGGCAGCCTTCAGCCCGCCTATGGCCAGCGCTGCCTGTGGGGACCAGAGGCCACTGGCCACGTCATCACACTGTCGGGGGGTTGGGGGGAGGGAGAGAGAAGACAACAGGAGGGTGTGATAAAGGTCAGAGGCCAGCCACCCCCCCCACACACACACACTCCAATATACACACACAAACTCCAATACACACACTCCAATACACACACTCCAATACACACACACACTCCAATACACACACTCCAATACATACACACACACACACTCCAATACACACACACACACACACACACACACACACACACACACACACACACACACACACACACACACACACACACACACTCCATGTCCTTCACCTCCCAGGCAAAGCTAGATGCTGTGCCCTTTTCTATGTTCTGGCTGCTCACCCACCCTCCGAGGCCCTGCTGCGTGAGCCAAGGTCCCCACCCCACACACCCCCTGCCAGTTCTGCCCAGCAGTCAGCCTCTGGCTCCTGTCCATTCCTTGTCTGCTACCTGGGCTGCTCTGCTCCCAAGTGTCTCGGGGTAGCTGATGCTCGGGCCACAGGAGGCAGGCCTGACATTTTCTTCTTAGAAAGAGCTATTTTAGGAAGTAAAAGTCCCCGGCTTTTTGAATAATTTGTGTTCTCTCTGGGGCTGAGCTCAGAATGCAGAGGTGTTCAGGGTCATTGAACTGTTTCAACAACTTCAGGTCCTATCACTGGGGATGAAATGCCCATAGCACAATCGAATGTTGAAGGAAAAATACTATGAACACTATCCTGGATGTCAGAAAGCAGTCGGTCAGTTAACCCAACTCCCTCAACAACAGAAGACCTAAAACCAAAACTACAATAAAAGGCAGGTTTCCAAAACCTCAGCCTTAAGCACAAAAAAGCCTGGGCATAGGGAAGTAAAAGGACAGCAAGTGGATCCCTAATAAATGATTCATTCTGCAAATGCAAAACTAATAGTTCAGACACTTGTGCTACCCAGGAAATCCTGCTGCAATACTGAAAAATGTAGATTCCTGCTTCTCTCTATTCGGAACAGAAGAGGTTGCCGAGGTTCGTCTGATAGCCCCTTGTTATTATAGGCTAATTAATGCCTATCCAGCGTATGTCCACCTGCAATCTCAGAATGGGGCTTTATTCAAAGACAAGACTCTTTGTGAGAATCTCAAGATGAGATTGTCCTACACTGTGGTAGGCCCTAGATCCAGTGATTTTTGTCCTTTCAAAAGAGACAGTAGAGGGGACACAAACACACACAGTGTAAGGAAGAACATATGAAGGCAGCATCGGGCAGAGTGACACAGCCACAAGCCAAGGAATGCCAGGAGCCACCAGATCTTCTAGGGGAAGTAGCAACGCCCTGCCCAAACCTTGATTTCTACTTCCAGTCTCCAGGACTGTAAGAGAACAAATTTCTGTTATTTTAAGCCACAAGTGTGTGGTCATTTGTTTGTAGCAGGTCTGAGAAACTCATACATCCCTCTCTGCCTAGGGTCAGCTACCTTTCTGCAGTTCAAAAATTAAAGACCTGTAACTAAGAAAGAAAATAACTAAGGTTAAGCACTGAAAGAGGTGGGGAAACGTAGCACCATTTCATTCTAGCCCCAAGCCTTTGTCTACTGGGTCTAGCCAGAAGAAAGGACAATTGAGCAGGAGATGTCTGTCTCACCACTTGCTCTAGGGCCACAAGGAATTCCTCATCGAACAGGACCATCTGCAACAGATGCCACACAGCTGTCTGCTGCTGCTCCGGCAGCTCCACGAACGGGTGGAAATTGCTCTCCAGGCGCAGAGTCACTGTGAAGACAGAACAGACCTGGTGCCATGACTGCTATGCACAGCTCTTGAGGTTAACACGGCAATGCCGGCTTCTTACAGCTCCTCCCCACTCGCCCCTCACAGATGTATCCAGCTGCAGTCAGCCACGCCAGCTCAGAAATAAACAGCACCCAGTGAAACATAACCCTGCAATGTTTCCAAGAACCAGGCTAATTCCTCCAGGGAGAGAGGAGAAAGGAAGAGGGAAACCCAGGTTTGTACTGCAGGCTTCCTGTTCACAGGAGGCTCACTACATGATCAAGTCTAACCAAATATTTCTAGAAGAGTCATTTAGACTCCCTGTTAGCAAGACTGCAGAATTCTCCAGGCTGAATTACTGAGCATATGTCAGAAACATGCAAATTCCAAAGCACATAACTCAATGCTCTTTCATAAAGATTTTGTATCCTTTGTGTTTAATGCATGTTTCTCAAAGGGGTTGGCACCCCCATGATCCTGGCAAGCAAGGAAATTCTTCCCTGATTTCCTTCTTCCCATCTGCTCAAGATGTACATGGGGTCCTTGGGAGCCTCTCCCTTCTCCTCTAATCCTCTTCTCTTTTCTTTCTATTTTAAGGGTAGTTAAAAGCTCCTAAGCCATGGGGCTGGGAAGGTGGCTCAGTGGTAGAGCGCTTGCCTTACATGCATGAGGCCCTGGGTTTGATTCCTCAGCACCACATAAGAAAAAAGAAAAAAGCCAGAAGTGGCGCTGTGGCTCAAGTGGTAGAGCGCTAGCCCTGAGCTGAAGAGCTGAGGGACAGCGCCCAGGCCCAGAGTTCAGGACCCACGACCGGACCCAAAAAAAAAAAAAAAAAAAAGCTCCTAAGCCAGGTACTAGTGGCTCATGCCTATAAATCTAACTACACAGGAGGCTGAGATCTGAGGATCCCAGTTCGAAGTCAGCCTGGACAAGAAAGTCTCCAAGACTGCTATCTCCAATTAACCAGCAAAAAGCTAGAGGTAGAACTGTGCCTTAAGAGGAAGAGTGCCAGCTGTGAGCATAAACACTAAGGAAGCACCCAGGCCTTGAGTTCAAGCCTCAGCACCAGCACACAGACATGCACACGCACTCACAGTTGAGCTCAATGAAGATTTTTCTAGAAAATATATTTTTTAAAAGGAAATAATGTTTGCATATGCAGGGCAGCATACTAATCTAGAAATGCTGCACAAAGCCAGAGAGAGAGAGAGAGGAGAGGAGAGAGAGGGAGAGAAGGGAAAAGGAAAAGAAGAGAGAACTGCAGTAACACGACATATTCAGAAACACAAGTAGATCTCCTGGAGCCCTGGCTTGAACAGAAGAGCTGGGCGGGTTAATCCAGGATCTGAGGCACAGAAGCCAAGCTACCCCCTCCCCACTCCTGCCCGACATGCCTGGCTGCCACCACACCCCAGCAGACTAGAATGGTTCCCTGTCAGGGCAGACCCAGATGCAGTGTAGCTCAAGGCTGTGGCATAGATAAGGATATCCGTCAGCCACAAGTCCCATTCTACATGAATATCAATAGGAAGAACCAGATTGGTTTTCATTGCCAAACCTTCCAAAAACCTGCGACAAAACAAAAATCCTCTTGACCTGGATTCACTGAAGCCCCATTGAGGACTCTTTCCTCTCATCCTCCAAGCCGCTGTTCCTCACTTTTTCCTGTGTGTGTGTGTGTGTGTGTGTCTGTCTGTCTGTCTGTCTGTCTGTCTGTCTGTCTGTCTGTGTCTGTGTGTATGTCTGTGTATAGACCCCAGTATTGGGCTTGAACTCAGAGTCTGGGCTCTATCCCTTCCCTTACCATTTCTCTTCAAGGCTGGTGGATACTCTACCATGTGAGCCACACCTCCACTTCTAGATTTTTGCTAGTTAATTGTTAATAAGAATCTCAAAGACTTTCCTGCCCTGGCTGGCTTTAAACCTTGATCCTCACATCTCAGCCTCCTGAGTAAGTAGGATTCCAGGCACAAGTCACCAATGCCCAGCCTTTTTTATCTTATTACTTGTTTCTTTATCCTTGCTCATCTCCTTCTACTGGATGCTGCAGTCTGAAACCTCACCGAAAAGAAACCAACCAAGAAAACACAACGTGCTGTGGGCACCTCAGGAGTCCTGGCCTCTTTCTCTTTGTACTAAGTGGCTTGGGCCAGAGGGATGAAAAGCTTCCCAGAGAGCGCTCTGCCTGGTGGGATGCTGACAATGCATCGCTGCTCTTGCCAAGGAAGCCTGGGATACAATGAAAACCAGTCCAAAAGCTGGGTTCTCTAGCCTGGCTGCTCACTTGCTATTCTTCGTAGTCAGCAGGCTTCTGTGGTGACAGGGCAGGATGGGGCTTCACTCCCCAGGCCCCCAGACCAACCCAAGAGGATTCCTGTTGGGTAGACTGGGGTTCAGATCAGAGCGACTCACTTGCAATGTTCACTGAGTTACTTACTGTGAGTCACTGAGCCCGGCAGCCATCACCACCTGCTGGAGGTGAGGATGGCAAACAGTACCTTGCTTTAAAGCATGCAGAGATCCATGGTGGGAAGATGTCCCAAGCCCAGCATCCGGCACGTCCACAAACGCAAAGTCTCTGTAGGCCAGGGGGTCCAGGTAGATGTCGTCGACTCTCCTCTCATGCTCGAAGCCACCGTGCTTCCCTTGGAGGAGGCAGAATTCTGCAGTGTGGAGGGAGAGGGCAGGCTAGGCCTGGCACTGGCCCAGTTTGGATACATCTTCCCCTACCTTTACCTAACTCAGGGTATCCTCTTCCCCACACCACCACTTCCCACATACCTCCCGCTGCCAAATCAAAAACCTAGCCACTGCCTCTAAATGCACCCTCAGTGGCTGTGCGGAGCCCAAAGCTCTCTAGAGTGCCCTGTCTAGCTCCTTTCTCTGAAGTGCCTTCTTTCTGGACCACACGCACTCTCTCGAGACTGCGCTGTCTCTAGAATGCCCCCCTCTAGACTGTCCTTTCTATGGAGTCTATGCAGTACCCTGTCTCTGCAGTGCCTTCTCCCTCAAGTGCCTGTTGTCTGAGTGTCCGCTCTCTAGAGGACACTCTCATCTACTAGATGTCCATAGAAGTAGAAAGCCCTCTCATCTTTCACATGCTGGAAGTATTTTCTCCCTCTGACCTGAACAAACAACGCTAAACAGACAAATAAAACCTACCATGAACAAAACAATTGAGGAAATGTGACACTTGTCATATTCAAGACTCTTTGTCAGTATATTCTGGTGTACAGTCAGCCATTCAGTTACATCTTTATGAGTCCTAGCTTCTGTGTTAGTAAAGACAATGATACGCAGCCATAAAAAGAAACTACTGACTTCTGCGATGGGATGAGTGTATCACACAAATATTACATAGAACAAAAAGAGCCAGACAAAAAATAATGCATTTTATAAGAATCTATTTACACTGAGGCAAAACTAGTTATATCGTATTCCCTTATTGCTTAAAGGTGCTGAACTGAGTCAGGCCCTGGTGGCATGCACTTGTCATCCTAGCCACTCAGGAGGGCAAGATCTGAGAATCAAGGTTCAAAGCCAGCCCAGGCAGGAAAGTTCATGAGACTCTTATCTCCAATTAATCACCAAAAAGCCAGAATGTGAGCTGTGGCTCAAGTAGTAGAACACTAGCCTTGAGCAAAAAAGCTCAAAGAAAGCACGCAGGCCCTGAGTTCAAGCCCTAGGACCAGCCCTGATGGCTTCATAGCCATCCATGGACAGATGGGAGGTGGTGGTACTGCCATGAAACCTGAGGTCACCTGGTTATTGAAACCAGGTGGTAGGTCCATGCCAGTCACTACGGCATTAGCCATAGTTAAGCGTGTGAAATTTCCCATAATGAAATGTTTGTTTTTACTAATAAAAAGAAATGTTTCTTGGAATATAATGGAGGGCTTAAGAATCTAGACGGTGAGTAAAAAAAGTAACTCTTGGGATGTTTTTGCTAGCGTAAACAGGGAGCAGGCTCAAGAATTAATGTTCTCTTTATGCTTCTAGTTCATTAAATTTGGCACCAAAACAAAGGAATAAAAGCAAAGCTATAGAATAAAAGTGAACCTGAAGCCACCTTAGATTCGTAGCTGAGGCCTCTGTAACCAAAGACAGATTATCAACAAACACAGAGGCAGAAAGATTCATTGCATAGCAGCTTTGCACTACACAGAAACTCTCCTAAGGACAGAGAAAGCAATACTTGACCGTGTTCATTTCATTATTTTCTTTGTTTGGCTTTTGGTTTATTTAAGACTGAGTTTCACTATGTAATCCACACTGGCTTCCTGCCTCGGCCTCCTGAGTGCTAGAATTATAGGTATGCACCACCATACCCAGCTCACCTAAGTAAAGGTATGCTAGGTTTGATGAAGAATGGAGAGAGAAGTATTAAGACAAAACAGATGACTAACAAACAGCGCTGAGCTGTCGTGTGAGCCTAGGAAGAAACTACCTGTGCTCACATTCCTCTGTGTGTGTCCTCACAGATTAGAGAACATCTTTCCCATAGGCAGAGAGAGAGAGGGCACCTTTGTCCTGATGGTGTGTCACCTGTATATGGGGAAGGCCAGAAAATCCTTCCTGGCACTTGTCCTCTGCTTCACAGAAAGTCTGAGTGGGCTTCTGGCTTCTGCCCTTTCTTCAAATTCCTTCACTTTCAAATTCTTTTGGGTCACGTATCCTAAATCCCTCATGGCGAAAGGCTCATGGACAATGCCTTAAGCATCATGAGGAAAGTTTTGGAGATGTTCTCAAGGCCAAGAGGTGGAAACACACTCTGGTCAGGATGTGGGTTCACTTTGGGCAGATCACCAGGTGGGTTAGACTGGTGAGGAAAAGCCTGGAGGTACAGGTCGAGGGACTTTATCCTTGGGACAGGGGAAGCCAAAGAGGATGTCTGAAATGACCTGTTTAATGGTTTTAAAACACATTTAAAATGTGATTTTAAACAGTCACATTAGTTACAGTGCTGGGACAGAACGAAAGAGAGAGAAGCAGAGGAGTCTGGTTAGAAGCAGTTGGCGGGAAGCCAGGGAGATCCCAGGGTCACCAGCTGGCCTGGGGAGAGGCGCACAGATTGGAGGTCAGGGTGAGACACGGCTTCTCAACCTGGGAGAGTCAGATCCGAAGCTGATGCTGAAAGGATATGCAAATACCAAGGATCAGGGAACAAAAGCATTGGCTAAAGTGCAAAATGATAAAGGAGCATTTCTGATTAGCCATCAGTTTCCCCAAGGGTGATCTGCTGTAGAAGGAAAAGGTCACAGTACTGCAGGCAGCAGGCTGCAGCACCTGGCCCAGCAGGGCAAAACAAAGGACACAAGGGTCACTGTCCAAGGTCATGACACCAGAGGTGGAAGAGAGGGTCCTTCCAGCCCCTGCAGGCTTGTTTACTTGGGCGGAACCAGATCATTTTGGGGCAAGCGTGACAGAAGGCACAAATGGGCAAGAAAAGGAAAAACTGACAACAAGAACAACAAAAATGCATCAGTGCTTTACAATCTGGGCGAGGGATGCTCCACATGCCAGGCATGGCACTGAGCAGAGGGCAAGGGCCATGGGGCATCAGGAAATGAGTCCAGGAGTGCTGAGCTATTCCCAGGGCGCCTCTTCTTGGCAGCATAATAAGGAGTTTATTTTCAAACACAGCAAAAGCCAGCTAAGATAAAAGGCTCCAAATTAAAATGCAAACAGGAGAGCAGGCCACACAAGGCTGTGTGTCTTTCAAAGGCTCTTCTGAGAAGAAAGAAGCCACCCTGGAAGAGACAGGCTACCCAACAGAGCGGCAGACACGGCAGGCCAGAACTCCCTGCCTGTCTCCCCAGCCACCAAGTGTCCTTAAAGATCTCAGGGGCTTTTTCTGGTATGTGCCAAGATTTCAAAAGAGCTCACAATAATGGTACATTATCCATAGTGGTCAAGATATAGAAATAATATGTGTCCAAGAATAAATGAACAGAGAAAAAATATATATACACACTGGAATATTCTTTAGCCATAAAAAAGAATGAAATCTACCATTTACAACATGCCTCAACCTGGAGAACATTATATCCAGACACAGAAGGACACACACTCTATGCTCACACTTATATTTGGAATCTAAAAGCCAGTCAGACTCATGGAAGCAGAGAATGGAACAATGGTTGTCAAGATTGCCAACAGAAGAAATGAGGATATACAACCGATTGTAAGTTTCTGTTGTTAAGTTCTGGGGATTTGGTATGTAGTAGTGACAATAGTTAATAAATACTGTGTTACAAAAAATAATATTGCGTTATTAGTGAAGACTTGCAGTCTACCTAAATGCTGAACAGATGAATAAAGAAAATATAGGGTGCATGCACGCACATGTGCACACACTCAATGCGCGCACACACACACACACACACACACACACACACACACACACACACACATAACGATGTTATTCAGCCATTAAAAGACGAATGAAATCCTATCATTTCAGATAACACAGAGAAACCTGAAGGACAATGTGCTGAGTGAAGTAAGCCAGATGCAGAAAGTAAACATCAGGGGCTGGGAAGGTGGCTCAGTGGTAGAGTGCTTGCCTCGCATGCATGAGGCCCTGGGTTCAATTCCTCAGCACCACATAAGCAGAAAAAGCCTAAAGTGGCACTGTGGCTCAAGTGGTAGAGCACTGGCCTTGAGCTGAATTACTGAGGGACAGTGCCCAGGCCCAGAGTTCAGGCCCCACAACCAACAACAACAAAAAAAAGTAAACATCATATTACCCCCATTTTACCAAGATCTAAAGACTACTGATGTTCCAGGACTACAGGTATGGCTCAATTCATAAGGTGCTAGCCTAGCAAACCTGAAGACCAGAGTTTAATCCTCTGTATCAAAAAAAAAAAAACCAAAACAAAAATAAACAAAAACCCAGAATGTTGGTTCCCAAAGGAAGATGGAGAGAGTGTTAATGCATAGGAGGTCCATTAGATAGGAAGAATAAGTCATTGTTGTTTTTTCAAGAACAGATAGTGGCTAGTTATCAATACAGTTAACTGTATATTTCAGAATAGCTAGAGAAGAAGTTTTACAATACAGTTGCCATAAAGAAATAACAAAAGCACAAGGTGATAGATTTGAGCAATATTCAACGTAGGCACACATTGAAACATTAAATAAACATCAAATGATAACCCATAAGTATGCAATTACAGTCTAGAACAACTAAAAAAATTGCTTACTTGAGATCTGCTAAGAGCACATATCTTTAACGCACATTCCCTCCCTCCCCAATTTGCAAATGATACCTGTGTCAAATAATGGATGTGTTGACTAGCTTGATTGTGGCAATCACTTCACAGTGTATATGATAGTAAATTGCCCTATATACATTGAATATTTCTAACTTGTTTTCTGTCCATTGCATCTCAATAAAGCAGGGTTGGCCCACGGGCCAAATCCAGCTGAACAGAACTGCAAAGCCCAGCACTGGGCTGAGCACACAGCTGCGTATCCCAGAAGCAGGAGTAACCTATTCACCCTCACAGCAGTCCACCTGGAAGATGAGTGTTTCAAAGAGAAATAATAAAACAATAATGCCATCTAGGATGGCGCAGATGAGGAGCCTCATACAGAGTGTGGAGCTCACGGTTCTTGGAGTTCTTAGTGTTCCTGATCACTGACCTCTCTAAACTTCCTTAAAACTGACATCTTCAACAAGAGGGCAGTGGCTCACATCTATAATCCTATCTGCTCAGGAGCCTGAGATCTGAGGATCATGATTTGAAGCTACTGAGATTCTTATCCTCAATTAACCACCAAAAAGCCATAAATGAAGCTGTGGCTCAAGTGATAGCCTTGAGAAAAAGAAGCTCGGAGGCAGTGCCAAGGCCCTAAGTTCGAGCCCCAGCACCAAAATAAAACAAAAACCCTGACATCTTCTCACTTGGACTTCCCCAAATGCTGGCTTGCTTTGTGTACAAAGCCATGGGGGAGGCTGAGCCCCCAGGCTCCCAGGAGGTGAGGACAGGGTCGCATCAGGACACTACCTCTGGTGTCTTCATCCCTGGTTTGCCAGCGAGGGGGGGGTGTGTCCAGTGGATGGCTTAGTGGGAAGCTGTCTCATGGGATTACTCATCTTGAACCCACGTCGCTGGAGCGAGTGAGGAGAGAGGAGACCACAGGAGAGGGGCATGTGGGGCACTCCTGCGCACCTCCTCCCAGGAGGAAAATGTCAAACAGCACCACAACTGTGAATGAAGTGCTGTGACCTGCATGGTCCCACTGACCAGGTCAGGACCTGGGCCTTGGCCAAGGATCCTCCACCCTGCCTCACCTCCACCCACTCCACTCACCCCACTGTAGAGGAAGCAGATGCACAGTCCTTCCATCTGTGAGATTTCAATGCCGGCTTCTACATGATAACTTTAGAAACACTGCCATAATGTCATTATCATACCCCAAAAGGGTAGCAACGATCTGTTACATTTACTCATTCTGGTTCCCAGGAAGCAATTTGTTGGGCTCAGCACAAGTTCTCATTAAGACTGAGAGGGAAGGGGCCCTGAGCCTCCAAGATGAGGGGACAGGAATGAGACAAAAGGGCTGATTGCCTCCAGTAACAATGACAGGCCTCTGATGGCAGCAGAAGGTCAGGTTGCAGTTTTACTCACTTGCTTTCTATTAGAATTGTGTGTGTGTGCGTGCACATGCGCGTGCACATGTGCAGGGGTACTGGGGCTTGAACTCAGAGCCTCATGCTCTTGCTTAGCTGTTTTCACCAGAGGCTGGAGCTCTACCACTTGAGCCACACCTCCACTTCTAGCTCTTAATTGGAGACACTGGTTAACTGGAATGTGAGTCTGAGGGATTTGTCTTCTCGGGTGGGCTTTGAACCAGGATCCTCGGACCTCAGTTAAGATCACCAGCATGAGAGTCAGACTAGGAAACTATTAAGAGCTAAGGTGGGGGAGCTAGACTGCCACACCCTGCACTTTCTCCACCTCACACCAGTCCCACCAGGGAGCTTCTCCCCCCTTTCAAGGGGAGAAGCTGAAAGTGCCAAGATTTGGCACTCTGAGGTGCTGCGTGGCTGATGGCAGAGGCATGTGCTTACCCCTGACCTGGCAGCAGAACCTCACCCCCACACCGACATCTCCAGAAGGAGCTCCCCCTGGACTCTCTCCCTAGGACCCCTCAAGTAGAAGGGTCCTCTACAAGTGGGTGCCTCAAGGGCACTCAGGGCCCTTCAGCCTCCTCCAAAGGTGGCACTCACCAAACTGGCCATCCTGTCTCACATACAGCTCCATGATGCCATAGGCAATGGTGGTGGCAGCTGGGATCTCCAGGGCCACGTTGCAGTCCTTGATGACATTCCCATCCTCCATGGCTGACACCTGCGGGGGAGAACACAGGTACCCACCTGCACTCACTCCTCGGCTCTTTTTTCTGCCTGCCTTGCATACGAGTGTGCTGTTGAAATGTCCATAGAGCGGAGTGGGAAAGAGGAGCTGGCCAAAACGAGGCCTTAAACCCCACCATGTTGTGATGTATGACACATATGCCAGAGCCTGAGGGCAACCTGTGTGGCCCTAGAATGCGGGAGGCTGTGAGCTCAGATGTACAGTGCTAAGTACACATGACATGTCAGGGTCCTAGTGGCACATGTTTGTAATCCCAGCTACTCAGGAGCTGAGATTTGAGGATTGTGGTTCAAAGCTAGCCCAGGCAGAAAAGTCCATGAAACTCTGATCTCCAATCAAGCAGCTGGAAGTAGAGGCATGGCTTAAGTGGTAGAGGGTGAAACTTGAGCAAAAAGAGCCAAGCAAGATCATGAGGCTCTGAGTTCAAGCCCCACTTGAACTCAAACAAACCCACAAACAAACTAATGAACAGGCATCACATAAGTGAGTTACATTTTGGTCAACAGAGTATATATATATATATATATATATATATTACAATGGTCCCATAACATAATTAATGAAACCAAAAAGTTCCTCTCAAGCCATTGTGACATCACAGCAAGAGATACCACTAGTGTTTGTGGTAATGTTAGCGTGTATGCACACATAGTCATGCTATTAATAGCTGTGCTATTATTTTTACCATACTTTTTAGCATTTGTGTATATATAGACTAAGTATATAGTGTATATATACATATATAAAACCTCCTATATACTACGTATATAATATATATAAAACCTAAGTATATATAGTATTCACTATAAACCATATAAATTATACAGCATATATATAGAATATATATGTATGTATATATATAGAGAATATATATACATACACATACATATACACACATAGTGGAATGGGTCTCCCTGTGTAGACCAGGCTGGCCTTGAACTCTTGATCCTCCTATCTCAGGAGCCAGTGCACTTGGCTGTACTTCTTACTTATGAAGAAGGTGAAGTATGCGGCGAAACTGTGCTGAGTGATGCAGGCAGCAGCCTCTGTCATCTCAGAACCCTTGTCTCTAGACTACCAAGAGGCCACATCAACTAACTGACCTCAACCATCTACATTTGTGCAGCTGGACACTGTAATGTTCTCCCAACCATGAAATCATTTAGTGAAGCATTTCTCAGAACATAATAAGCAATGTAGGACTAAATAAGATCAACTCCCAATTCTCCCATCAAGGGTTATGGAAACAATTAGGAAATCCTACTAAAAATCCCAACAGAACCAGTGTATCTGGAAGACCCCAGCTGAGTCAGCCTGACTCCTGTGGACAGACCCCATCCCCACAGAGCCAGGAAGAGGAAGTGCAGTGTGTGGAGAGGTTGAGAAGCAGGCAGGAGAGGCTGGGAAGGAAATGGCAGGCAGGAAAGTTTCATCCTTGACATTCATCCCACCATGCTCTTGGAGAAACAAAGCTGGGAATCTATTGCTGGGGACCAAAGAAACTTATTTTTAGCAACTTGGTCAAGCAATGGCTGATAGGCTCCTGACTTGTACAGCACCAGGACTTGAACAGGCACTGACCACTACCCAAAGCATCAATGGGGACAACCTAAGCCATCTCTCTTACGAAGCGCCTCTCTTCTCATTGCTGTACTATCACCCCCTACTGACCCCCAAAGTCTCAGCTCAAGATGACTTCTGCACCACCTAACAAATACAGCCATGAAAGGTCTGCTAGAAAAAGCCAAAAGTAAGCTAGCACTGGTGGATCATGCCTGGAATTCTAACTACTCAGGAGGCTGAGCTCTAAGGATCACAGTTCAAAGCTTATCTCTAATTAACCACCAAAAAGCTAAAAGTAGAGTTGTAGCTTAAGTGGTAGAGCACCAGCTTTGAACAAAAAAAAGCTAAGGGACAGCATCTAGGCCCTGAGTTCAAGCTCTTGTACCAGCACCCAAAAACAAACAACAACAACAACAACAGCAAAAAAGAAGAAGCCAAAAGTCACCCGAAAAGTAGATCTCCAAAACACTAGGGAGCAATGGATCAAGGGTGCAGTGTGGGGTTGTCAGCACCAGCACGCAGATCAGTCCCAAAGACATTTCTACTTTAAACTGGAAGAATCCATTCACATATACATAGCTAGATCTTTGCCCTCATTCAGTTCGCAAAGTATCAGGGTAGCTAACCTCAAAGTAAACATTTGAGAGTCCTGACTCCACGGTGTGCTGAGTATTCTTGTATATCTGGCTTGGTCAGTGCCACTCAACCTACTTTCCTTTGGGGGAAATCTCACTCCCACTAAGGAAAATGCCTGGTCAATCGGAGAGCCCTTCTGCTAGACCATGGGTCTGCTTCAGGCCGAGACACAACCCAGGTGAGATGTAGTTTTGAGGCAATCTTGCCCCACAGACAGCAATAAAACTGATGAGAGGCTGTCTGGGGCTGGGGAGGTGGCGGGGGGGGGGGGGGGGCAGTGTAATCAAATTAACCTTCTTTGAGGGACAGTGACCCACAATGTCAACTCCTGGATCCAGCAGTAACTGAAGCCAGATTGCCTCAAATACTTCAGTTACAGCAGCGAGTACGTTCTTGCTCACTAAAGCAAGTGTGACATGTATATCTATTACCCCACTCTGGAAACTCTTCTTCTAATGAAGCCATCACCCTGCCCGCCCACGCGGTGTCTCCATGGCTGTGGCTGGCCCCGCCCACTCCCAGTCCACACCTGCACCGTCTTGGTCTGGATGCCCACCATGCCACCACACTTCTCCTCGATCTGCACATGCTCAGAGATCACGCACTTCTGCGTGGTGACGATCTTCTGTGTCAGCACACACAGGACCTCGTTCCTCCTCTCTAGCACCTGCTGCAGCACTGGGTCCTTCAGATTGAGCTTTCTGAAAAAGGAAAATGACCATGAATGGCTCAGGGAGATGATGACACAAATTCTCTCTTCCTGACACAGATGGCCGAGGAGAGAAGGGTGACAATCAGCTGTGCTGACCTCCTGGTAATGAAAGAGAGGAAAAGTCAACCAGAAAGGTTTCAACCAAACTCCTCTGCTGCCCCCTCACATCCATGCTGCGGGACAGGCTGAAGAGAGAATGTCCATCCCAACAGCAGCACTAGCTTCAAGGAGGAAACCAATGCACAGAGCATCTGCAGTCCATCCAGCATGGAGTCTGGGGGAACCTAGGGACAACACATCACAGCCAGGCCCAGGGAGCTAATGATAGGGATGGGGCCAGCAGCTTAACACAGAGGACTACAGGCTTTAAATACAAGTAGCAAGGAGGAAATTAAGATGGTTTGGTTTTGTTGTGGTGGTGGTGGTGATTTTCCTATATGTGCCAGTACTGGGGCTTGAACTCAGGGCCTCAAGTTCTTCCTTGGCTTTTTCACTCAAGGCTGATCTTCTACCACTTGAGTCTTACTCTCCACTTCTATTGTTTTGCTGGTTAATTGGAAATAGAATCTCACACTGGGCTGGTTTCAAACCAGGACACTCAGATCTTAGCCTTCTGAGTAGCTAGGATTACTTTTGCAAGCAAGCAGGCAGGCAGGCAGGCAGGAAGGAAGAAGAGAGAGAGAGGAAGGGAGGGAGGGAGGGAAGAAGGAAAGAAGGAAGGAAGGAAGGAAGGGGAGGGAGGGAGGGAGTGGGGAGGGAGGGAGAGAGGGAGGAAGGAAGGGAAGGGAGGGAGGGAGAGGGGGAGGGAGGGGGAGGGAGGGAGTAAACAGGGCTTCTTATCTGGATGGGAAGAGTAGATAACTTCTTAGGAGGGATTTCCAATACTTGGAGAAACAAAGATCAACTTCACATGGACTGTCTACCACTAAGCAGAGACCTTGGACTACAGAAAGTGATGTCATGTTTAGAAATAAAGTTTCTTAGACATATCATTGAACACTGTATCTATGAAGTGGGCAGAAGAAACAAATCAGAGCTGATGTCTGCATGAAAAGATCTATATGTTCATTTGGGGCTTCTGTAGCAGCTCTGCAAAGCCCAGCACCCCTCCCAAATCACACAAGGAACAGGTAACCCATCGAAGACATACATGAACTCCACAGCCTTCACGAAGGAGCCTGAACTGAAGCAAGGAGCTGGAAAGGGCCATCTCCATGTGTTAACTTGCCTAGAATGGATACGTGACCCACAAGGGAATGTGGCATGCACAGAGAAAAGAAGGAAGTTCCCACACATGCTACAGTATGAAAGAAATAACGTAAGTATAAAAGGACCAAATGTAGATGGGAAAACTCATAATCATAGAAGGTTGAAGGATACCAAGGGCTAGGAGAGGAAGGATGAGAAGTGGTTAATTGGTGTTGGGATAGAATCCTGGTAGAGTGGTGAAATAAGTTCTAGAAATGGGACAGTGGTAAAGGCTGCACAGTAGTAGGACTGCACTTAATGCTGTGGAATTGTACACTTAATAATGGGTTAAAGTAGCAAATGTTTATGTTATATAAATGATAATAAAATATATAAAAATAATAATAAAAAGGGAATATATTTTTTTAAATGGTCAATATCCAGTAGGGCACTGGTGGCTCATAACCGACCCTTAGAAGGCTGAGATCCGAGGATTGAGTTGGAAGCCAGCCCAGGCAGGAAAATCCATGAGACTCAATCTCCAATTAAGCACCAAAAGGCGAGAAGGAGAGCTGTGGCTCACATGGTAGAGTGCCAGCCTTGAGCAGAGAAAGCTAAGGGACAATGCCCAGGCCCCCCATTACTGGTGTGCGCGCATGCGAGCGCGCGCGCACGCACACACACACACACACACACACACACACACACACACACACACAAACACGTCACAAAGAAGCTAAGCTTCATACTGGCCATTGCTATCATTCACTAAGCCAATCTGGGCTCCTCGTCCTTTTTCCTCTATCTTCCCTGACTCATCTTTCACACACAAATGCACACATGAAGACACTCATTAAAGCAAAGAAACAAAGAGGGGGCAAATGGATAGGATATTATTTGTTTATTCTAACAACATTTCCTGAGCCCTTCATGTGCTCTGGGTGCTGATCTAGCACTGAGATTGTGAGTATGGAGGTGAGCAGTGTCCTCATCTCCATGACTGAAAGATGAGAAAATGAGCTCGAGACATACCTTTACCCTACTCTACCTCCAAGGTCTCCCTTGGAGGTGATGATTGTTAAAGATAACTGGGCACGCACCTAGTGAATAAAAGGCAGAGAGATGGCTGCGGGGTGGGGTGAGCAGGGGCTGGACTATGGAGGCACCAGCTCCTAACGTTATGTCTTCTGACAAAAGCAAAAGCCATAAAAGGCATTTTCTGGTTCTTTCCCACATTTGCAGGAAGATCACATCTTCTCCACTTTCCAAAGAGCTGAGATGCAAGTCCAGTGCTCCAGCCATCCATCCAAAAGGATGATGAAGTCCAGGTTGTGTGAGGACAGTAGAAAGGTCAGCAACTTGGAAAAGCAGCCCAGGTTTGCAGAAGAAATGCACCATCTGCCCCGCACAGGAGAGGGGAGGGGAGGGGAGGGGACCGGCACAGCTGTCCCTGAGGACACTCACTGCCAAAGCGGTTACCACGGGGCTGAAACTAGACGAGGACTAGAAAAGCATCCTTACATAGAAGTCAAATTTTGCCAAGCAGGAAAGGAAAAAAACAAATATAAGGAAGAAACAACTGAGAAAAGGTAGGAATGAAGTAATCTTACACAATTTCCATGTTAAAAACACACAAATGAGCCAAGCACCAATGGTTCACACCAATAATCCTAGGTACTCAGGAGGCTGAAATTGGAAGATTGTGGTTTGAAGCCAGCCCAGGCAGAAAAATCCCTCAGATTCCTACTCTTAAATCAGCCAGCAAAAAGCCAAAAGTGAGGATATAGGTCAAGTGGTAAAGCACTGGCTTTGAGCAAAAAAAGCCAAGCAAGAACAAGAGGTCCTGAGTTCAAGACACAGTACCATCACAAAGAGAAAGAACGAAAGAATGAAAGAAAGGAGGGAGGGAGGGAGACAGAGAGAGAGAGAGAAAGAGAGAGAGAGAGGGAGGGAAGAGGGAGGGAAGAAAAGAAAGGGAGGGAGGCAGAGGGAGAAAGAGAAAGAGAGAAAGAAAAAAAGAGGGAAAGAAAGGAAGAAAAGCTGCTAAAATGATGTAAGGAGAAAACATATTTTGAGGTGACAGATCCAATTCCCACCTACCTCTGCACCTGCCCAACAAGAACAAGAACTCCTCTTCCAGGACTATGGTGGTAGGACTGCACTTGCTGGTGGAAAATTAAAAAGCCTCATCATGGAGCAAGCTTGTCCTTGGGGATTCTGAGAAGAGTCCCATGCCTGCTCTGCAGTGACAGGATTACAGCCACAATGCTGCAATCCAAGTGTTCAAAAGAGCTTGCCCTTCACAATCTAAAGCCATTCTAACCCATCTTCTGCAGCCACATGGCTGCAGATATCAAAGGTGCAAGCCCTAGCACCACTTCTGCTTAACCCTAGGGGCCTAAGGGAGGTCTCCTCCACAGGCAGTGGGGCACGGGTACCAGCTCCACCAGCCCAACTGTTCCTAGTTTGGGACCATCTCCACCACAATCCACAGAATTCCACCAATCAGTACTTGTGTCTAACGCCCTGGATCCACTTGTGCTTGTTCCTGGGGCCCAGAGAAGCTATCATGTAGCTGCCACACCTCTGTGAAAACAGCTAAGCACTCCAACTCCCAGAACCAACTGCAGTCACCCCCAGAGAACCTAGAAAAGTCACCAGTGTGTTCCAACACATCAAGCCCACAGTCACGAGGGCCACAAACTCAGTACCAGCTGAGCTCCTCTTGAGGCACCAGGGGAAGGTCCATCCTTACCCCCACCGCCAGCCCAGCTCCAGAACTGTGGCTGCTGGCACAGGCATCTCCCACGCTCATCCTGAGGTTTCCTGGGTGGCCTAATGTACATTCTGTGACCCAGGAGGACTGATCATGTCCTTATTTGGGCATTACATTGAACTTGTAATGAGGGACCTGAGCAAAGCTCTATTCACAACCTACGCCACCCAAACTTTGGCAGCTGCCACTATTTATACCAATGCCATGAGGGCTGGATTCTGTGGAGCCTATAGACAGAAACCTTTAGAAGCCTGTGTCTACTGGAAAGCCACAGAACTGTCCCATGAATACCTTAGAATGCAGGAAACTCAATGACACGGCCGACATAAAAGATGAAGAAATTATACGGGCACCATGTTTTGGAATCCCCCTACGACCAACTAAAACATGTATTCAACTGAATTCCTAAATCCCATCTAAATAGAAAGTCCCTTCATACAAAAGACACTTCATAAAACTGGAAAAAGGCAAACATTATCCAAGATGTGCGGATAACCACATGATGCCATGAGAAAACACGACCCCCTCAAAAAAAAAAAAACCTCCAGAAATAGTTCTCAGTTTAAAGAAGATATTTTAAATATCTAAAAGAAATTTTAAATAATGATCCTAAGAAAATTCAGTGAGATGCAAAAGATTAAAGAAAAACAAAGAACCAAGATTTGGTGACTTTCATCTATATCCTAACCATTTAGTAGGCTGAGATCTGAGGACTGAAGTTTGAGGCCAGCCTGGGCAGAAAAGTCTATGAGATCCTTGTCTCCAATCAATACCAAAAAGCAAGAAATAGAGCTCAAATGGTAAAGTGCCAGCCTTGACCAAAAAAAAGAAGGGACAGTGCCTAAGACCTGAGTTCTGCCTAAGTAGGAGCACAAATAATAATACATAATAATATAATAACAAATAATAAAACTACTAAATAATAAGTTATTGTTATTAAGCGAGGCATCAGTGGTCATGCCTGTAATCTTGGCTACTCAGGAGGCAAAAATTTGAGGAACAAAGCCTGCCCAAGCAGAAAAGTC